CCTTATTCCCTAGAAGTCTCCAGACCACTCTACTTCCCCATGGAAAACAACCTCTCGCGCTGCTGCCGCACAATGTCATCCTCCTCCTTGCTGCATTTTCTCTTCATCCTCGACCTCGTCATCATCATCATCATCATCATCATCATCATCATCATCATCATCATCATCAGCATGATCATCATCATCGGCATCATCGTCACCAACATCATCATCACCACCACAATCGTCATCATCATAACCATCATACATACATACATACATACATACATACATACATACATACATACATACATACATACATACATACATACATACATATGTATACACATATATATATACATATATGTGTATACATACATACATACATACGTGCATACATACATACATACGTACATACACACATGCACATCCCTCAATACATCCATCCATCCATCCATACATACATACCTACCTATCTACCTACATGCATACATACAATCATACATACATACATGCATACAGACATGCATACATGTATGCATGCATGCATGTATGCATGCACACATACATACATACATACATACATACATACATACATACATACATACATACATACATACGCATGTACATGCATACATACATACAACCATACATACATACATAATGCATGCATGCATGCACACATACATACATACATGCAGGCACACCGAAATACATACATACAGACATACCGACAGGCAGCCAGACAGACATACATACATGCAGGCATGAATGCACGCATGCATTCATGTATACGTACATACCTGCATACATGCATGCATGCATGCATGCATACAATCGTACATACATACATACATGCATGCATCCACACATACGTGCATGCACGCTCGCACGCATACATACATACATGCATACAAGCATACGTTTTCCTTGTCATACCTCATCCTCCTCCTTCGTAACCTCCTTCTCGTCAGATCGCACCCCCCCCGTTCCCGATGAAGATCCTTGGCCGCCTGCCTCTCGCCTGTCGCCTCCCACCTGTCCCTGCTTCCCGTACGTTCGTCACGCAATTCTCCACGTTGGTAAAGTGCGGCATCGGCCTCCTCCCCTCTCCACTGGGGTTGCAGTTCTGCTGCGCGATCTCTTTTTCACTTGGCTCGTCCATGCGCGCGAGCTAACAGGGACATCAACGAAGCATGCCGATAATGCTACGGGAAGCCACACACGCTGTGCTGGCTGAAGGGACCATGGAGCAAGTGCAAGCGCCTCAGCGATGAGAAGAAACAAGTGGCGCCCTTGCGGCAGAAGATCCTGAAAAGCGTTACGCAGTTACGCGGGCGGGTGTGCCACGAGGGGGGCCAGGATGGGGGTCTATGGTGGGCCACCGATTTCGGGTACCCAGGCACCGTCATCAGATGTTAGAGAAGAGTTCGATACTAACGTCTGCGTGCACACACGCACACACACACATATATATATACACACACACGTAAGCACAGAACCTTCAGATCCCACGTTGCGAAACATGCAACGCCCAACAGCCCTAGACCCCACCTTTTTAAGGCATTCTTTGATCCTGAGCAATCTGTGATCACCCAGGGGCCCTTTACGAGGCAGACAATCGCCCGTTGCAAAAAAAGCGACGACAGGATTTCAGGGGCAGGGGAAGCACAGCATTCCCCCTCGGATCGCCGCAGGGTTTGCTAAGAGAGGGTGGTTTTATGTGAGTGCGAATGTTGGCCTAATTTGGCCTGGCTTATCAGTGTGCTGCAAGTGCCCTGAGAGGCCTAGGGCCTAGGGGGGTAAATATGGGGATAATGGGTCCCCGTCCACTTACCGAATTCATCTTTCCCCTGAGCCATTCAGGGCACCTTCAACCACCTTGTAAGTCAGGTTGGGCCAGGCGTACCCTACACTCGCATCCATTTATGGGCCCATCTCATTTTATCGGTGGCGGAATCCGAACCCTACCCTCGCCGGTCAACGTTTCAGGCAATTCGATGGGCGGGGGGGCCAGAACTCGCCGAACACGTGAACCCCTTCGAGGGTCCATTCGATCCGATCGATCCGAGTCGTTGTCGATCTTGGCCCGACACGATTCGATCTCGATATGTCCGACGACCCGATACGACCCGTCGCCACCTGCCTTGGAAACCCTCGCGGCGCTTCGGCCCCACCCTGCAGCACCCGCGCGGTGCATGACGCAGGCCGTGTCCGTGTCCGTGTCCGTGTCCGTGTGTGTGTGTGTGTGTGTGTGTGTGTGTGTGTGTGTGTGTGCGTGTGTGTGTCCGTGTGTGTGTGTGTGTTCGTGTCCGCGGCGATCCAAGCCGCTCCCGGTCCCGAGGCTGTTCCCGCCGGGCGCCCCCTCGGAGGGCGTGGTGCCGCCGCCGCGGGGCGAGGTCGCGATGGAGGTGGCGTGGGCGCCGCGCGGCGCCGCCCTGCAGTTCCGTGGGCCGCCCGGGGAGAGCCTGGGGGCCTCCCGTTGGCGTCGTCGTCGTCGTCGTGTTCGTGTTCGTGTTCGTGTTCGTGTTCGTGTTCGTGTTCGTGTTCGTGTTCGTCGTCGACGTCACGTTCCCGAGGCTGGGGTTCGTACCCTGACATCTCAGATGTCGACGCGCCGTTTGTTCCGACGCGAGGCATTCTTCCCAGAGGAGGAGAAGGTAGCCCCATACCTCCACCCTTCCCTCGTTTTCACCTTTCTGTTGGCCCCCTGGAGGGATCTCGTCGCCACTGCTGGGTTCGCCTCGAAGTTCTGTTCAGAACGCACCCGAGGAGAGGTCCGGGGAGTAGTGGTCTCCGTGCCTTGTGGTTTCCCCACCTTCCGTCTTGGGGAGGGTGCAGTGGGCACCAGGGCAAACGACGCCTCGGGCGCGGTGGGCTTGCCGTGAGGTAACCTTTGTGCCCGCTTCGTCTACTTTGCGGCGCGGGGCGCAGGGTTTGCCGTGGGTTTGCCGTGGTGTCGGCGTACTTGGGGCGCGGGACGCAGCGTTTGCCGCGCGTTTGCCGTGGTGTCGGCGTCGTTCACCTGGGCGCGTCGAGAGCAATCGGCGCGGCGGCAAATGATGTTCAAAACGCTGGGGGGGCGGGCGTTTCTTCGTTTTCAAGATCGACGCTGTTTTTTCCGCTTGGGGGTCAATATTTGCTTCCTCATTTTGGATTCTCGTTCGCGCCGTTTCGGTGCGGTTCCGTTTTGTACTGCTTTTTGTTTGTTGTGAATTGCAGTGTTTTGCCCGTGTGAGTTGGTCGAAAACCGAAATGTTGAAAACGAAAAGAATCATCCTGGCATGTTTAGCACCGGCGGAGCCTGACACGACGGAAGGTTTATGCGCGGTTTCGGCTTTTCGAGGGGCCCCCGTGGCCGTAAAAACATGATTCCCGATGAGAAACCGGTCCTTGGGAAGAGCTCCAGACCAGGGTTCGTTCCGATTTCCCCGACCCGATTCGACTCGATTTCGATGGCTTCCAGCGCCGATTCGCTCAGAGCTTCTGATGCCGATCTGGATTCCGATTTCTCAGGGGGGGTCTGTAGTCTGTAGCAGCCTGCCGACTTGCGCCGATCCGACTTCTCCTGGCCTGGCTGCCGGTGCTCGTCGATCCGACGTGTCTATTCGATTCTGGGCTCTCCTGCAAACTCCTGGGGAATAACACGTTGCGAAGCATCACGGCGTCGGAGGTCTGGGTGTCTCTCCGCCGCCTATCGGGGGCCGATCTTTCCCTGGGCCTCAGATTAAGTCGGGCTTGTCCCTCTAGAGGAGGAAAATTCAAAAATATTCCAAAATTAGTCTGGGGACGATTTCCTGTGTATGTTTGACTACTTTGGAGTATTTTTGACTATGATGTTTAATATTTCGCCCACGGTCCGCCTGTAGGGGGACATGCCCGACCTAAGTCTAACCGAGGTAAAAGATCGGGGTCGGCTCGGGGAGGGTACCCCGATGTTTTTTCGTGTCTGGTGGATGCTACTGTACATCCTGTGGGAGGTTGCCCTCGGTGATCTTCTGGTTTGGGGTGTTTGGGCCGGGGCGGAGTGTCTCATGTTCTTGAAGGGTGTTCTTCTGTCCTAGGTCTGGCCTTCTGGGGCATTTCGGAGAAGGCGTCGCCTTTGAGGGCCGAGCAAGCTGGCTTCTGTTCTTCGGCGGAAGGCGGCGGACGTAAATGGAGGGCGGCTCCGCTGGCGGATGCCTGCGGAAGGCTTGCGGAGGCCGGCGGGAGCAAGAGATGCGCCCCCAATAGACGGCAAGATTTTTGGTTTCACAGACCCGGCGCCCGGCGAAAAGCCGCGTCCCCCCCTTCCACAACTGGACACCTTTGATCCCTGTTCTCGTGATGGGCATGTTTTCCAACACCACCATAAGTTGGAGGGGGGAAGGAGGAGGAGGAGGAGGAGGAGGAGGACGAGGAGGAGGAGGACCCCCTCCCTCTCCTGCTTGTGGTGGTGGCGGTGGAAAACAAGTCCATCCTTTCGAGAGCCCCTCGAGCGGTCCCTCGGGCCTTCCGCGGCCCTCTGGCCAAGCCCCTGCCGGCCATTGGCCAGCGGGCCCACATGTGGTATCCGAGCGGGCGGCCACCGGCCCCGCGAGAGTCCCGAGCGGCCCCCGGGCGCCTCTCCGACGCTCCCGGCAAGACCTCCAAGAGGCATTCCCAGTGGGGACGACTCGTTACATGTGCTCGTTAAAGGCTTAACGACTTCTGCCGTCCGTCGACTCGCGCTGGAGCGGCCGCGAAGTGCTCGAACTTTCCCTGGAGATCTCTGGATTTACCTGGATTTACCAAGGTTTGTCTAGATTTACCTGGATTTACCTCGATTTATCTGCATTTACCTGGGTTTATCTGGTTCGATTCTCACAAGTCGATTGGCGAAAAGTCGACAAGCCCTAAGGGATGTGCCCGTGTTCGTGTTATTCGGCGGGGGCATCCGATGCTTTGGCTTTCCGGGGGCGGCCGTCTCAGACCGCGGCTCGGCCCAAGAGTGAATCGCCCCAGCACGGGCCCACGAAATGTTTCCGTACCCATCTGGGCTCAGGCCGTGTTGGCTCCTGACTGGCGCGCGGGCGGTCCCCGCTCGCCCATCCCTAGCTTTCCGCACAGTCTCGCCGCCATGGTGCCGCTCGTAGTACCTCTACTTCTTAACAGCTGCCTGGCGCTCCAGACCAGCGTGACCTCCAGGCTTCCTGCGGCGGGGTGCCGCGATGCGGTCCCGGGCGACTGGTGTCACACCGCGCTCGCGTGGGCGAAAGAGAAAGGCGCCACGGAGCACCCGGAATGGTTTCCAGGGGACGTGGGCGAGTACACGGCCCGGGACTTCCAGTCGCTGATGCACCAGCTCGGCGTGGCCCAGTGCACGCCGCCCTGCGCCCCAGAGCACGTCGAGCGGCAGCACGCGGTGGTGCTTCTGCAGTCTGGCGAGGCCCTGGCTCAGGGCTTCGGCGCCTCCGAGCTCGAGGAGCTGCTGGCGAGCACCTGGGCGCCGAGGGCTGCGGCGGGCAGCCCCGCACAGTCGCCCGACGGCCCCGCCGCCGCCGCGAGCATGTCCGACTGCGAGGACGCGGCAGAGGGCAGCCTTTGCCACCGCTCCGTGGCGTGGCTGCGTGAGAGTGGGTTCGCGATGCACCCCGATTGGTACCCGGGGCTCTCGAGCGACACGCCCTTCGAGCATGTCCAGATGATACTCTATTCCCTCGGCAAGGTGGGCTGCAAGAAGCCGTGCCAGAAGGCACTCGAGATGGTGCCCGACGGCCAGTACAACAGCAGCGAAGCAGTCGCGCAACCTCCGCACAGCACCTGTGGCGACGCGGCCCCAGGCGGCTGGTGCTCGAAGTCCATCCAGTGGCTCAGGTTCTACGGCTTCGCTCATCACCCCGACTGGTACCCGAGCCTCGGCCCCGGGTCCACCGACAGGGAGATGCAGACCGTCTTGCACCAGCATGGCAAGGCCCAGTGCCCCAAGCCGTGCTCGGAGCGCGGCGCAATCGACGCGCTCGAGGAGCCCGCGGTGGCAGCGGAGCCGGCGGCGGAGCCCGAG